TGGACTCCGCTATCTGTTTACTGTGTTCCAGGTGGTGTTGCCATACTTGTCAATCTCTTGTTTGTTGTCTGTTCTTGTTGGTTCTCTGTCCTCAGAACTCCCTTTAGGGTGTTTTGAAGTGCTGGGTTGGTTTTGATAAAATCTCTTATATTCTGTTTATCCTGGAATGTTTTGATCGAACCATCATATTTGATTGATAGTTTTGCTGGATAGACAATTCTTGGTTGGCAGTTTTTTCTTGCAGAGCTTTGTATATGTCTCCCCATTGCCTTCTCGCCTGCATGGTTTGTTCTGAGTAGTCAGAGCTTAATCTTATTTGCTTGCCTTTATAGGTTATATTTCTCTTCTCCCTGGCTGCTTTTAATATTCTTTCCTTGTCTTTGATTTTTGAGAGCTTGATTATTATATGTCTTGGAGATTTTCTTTTGGGGTCTATCCTTCCTGGAGTAAATTGGACTTCTTGAATGTTTATCTTCTCGTTTTTCAAGATGTTTGGGAAATTTTCTTCCAGAAGCTCTTCCATGATCTCTTCTGTGGATTTTTCCGTTTCTTCTTGTTCTGGAATGCCAATAATTCTTACATTATTCCTCTTCATGTTTTCCAGCATGAATCTTAGACTCTCTTCAGATTGTTTTATTCTTTTAGCTGCTTGCTCTTCTACCTTGGCAGTATTGAGAGTTTTGTCTTCCAGCTCACTAGTTCTGGCTTTCATCTTTTCTAGTGTGCTCCTTTCCTCTTTCAGGCTATTGTCTATTTCTGATATCTTATTATTGATCACCTGGGTATCTTTTTGCAGGTTTTTTTTTTTTTTTTTTTGGTAAAAAAACACATTTATTTGTTTCTTGATAATGGCATCATTGTGAGGAAACACAAAGGATCAGGGTGTGGGGGGCAGACAGAGAGATCAAATACCTCCGGCTTCCCAGAATTCTCCCATCTCTCTCCACTTTGGTTGCTTGGGGATTGGGGGCAGGGGAATGCAGGGGAAGAGGCAAGGTGTGATTGATAAAGCTAAGGAGTGGGAAAAAATGCATAGTTGGGTTATATCTTGTGCCTGTGGGAGAGTGAAGCCAGTGGGCTCCTTGCATCCAGGCTTGGCCTCTAGCCCTTTCCCTTCCCTTTCTTGGCTTTGGCCTTAGCTTTGGTCTTGGGAATGCATGGTTTCATCACGAGGATGGTCTCCTGGCACTGGGCATTATATCGTGCCTTCTTCAGGATGCCTTGGCAACCCTTGGTACCTGTACCCCCATCACAGGCACCCCAGCTCTCAAACTTGTACTTGCAGTTGGCTCCAAACTCCTTCTTCCAGTTGCAGGGCACTCTGCACCGGATGCGCTGAGTCTGGTCCCCGCAGGTGCCCTCGCTGAATCCCACCCCTATTCCTTGCTGCTGAGGGTGCAGGGCCCCCAGGTCCACTCGGCGCAGTCACTCCCCGGGCCGCCCTTCTTCACCTTGACTTTCTTTTTGGCCACCATGGAAGTGAGTGCCAATAGGAAGAGGGTGGCGAAGAGGAAGAAGGCTTGGTGCTGCATCTCGCTCTCTGCCCGCGTGACTTCACTCCCTCCTGCGCCGGGCCAGACCTGCTATGGCCTGAGCGGCCCCTTTTGTCTCCAGAACCTGTTTGAGCCGGTCACATGGGCCCTGCCCCCTCCACCAGGAAGGACCCGCCCCTTTTTTGCAGTTTTTTAATTGTTTCCAATGCTGTGTCAATCCTATTTGATTTTTCCTGGAGAATTTTTTTTGCTTCTTCCTTATTTTCCTCAACCCCTTTTTGGATTATTTGAATTTGTTTCCATATCATTCTTCTGAATTCCCTCTCAGACATATCCAGAACCCGCTCCTCCTCCTCTATAAAGTCATTTTCTGTCTTTAGTTCATTTTCGTCAGCTCCCCTCTTCGGTTTTTGGACATGTTTCGATAAAGTTGATTGTTTCTTATTGGTCATGGTTATTGTTTTATTATTATTATTATTAATATGACCTGGAGATGGGCTTCCCTTTTCGTATGTAATGCGTAGCAAATGTTGTTGGGTCTTGTCTAAGTAGTAGAGTATTATGTTGTAGCTTGGATATATGGCCACGATTGCTACTTCTTCTTATGGGACGGAGGGAGGGTAAGTTCCCACCTCCAGGAAGGATGTGTAATCAAAAGGACTAAGAGCAGAGGTAATATAAACGCATGGACAGAAATCACCACATTGGAGCAGATTTTTGTGGCTTTGGGTTAACTTTTTCTGTTCCCTCTCCCGCCAGCATAGCCGCTGGAGGATCCCCGCTGCTAGCTAGGAGTGGGGGCAGGGGCTGAGATGCAGCAACAGATGGGGGATGATGGATGATGTAAAAAAGTTGCTGCCGACTTTCTTACACTCTCCGTGCATGGGTGAGCTGCACCCGACCAATTTTTATTGGGATCTCAAGCCAGGGCAGGGAGACTTGGGATGGGAGGAAGCTATGTCGCCTCTTGTCCTTCTTTTTTTTTTTTTTTCTTTTTTTCTTTTCCCCGCTGGAGACGCTGCTTTCTGAATGGGCCGACCCTGCCCCCAACCTCTAAACTCTGCAGTCGCAGTAGCGACCCGCGGTCCCCGCTGGCAAGAGTCCCAAAATACGTACCTTTCTTTATCCTTATTAGCACGATTTCTCAAAAATGTGAGTACAGGAGACTTTATGATAGTTTAAAAGCCGTCAGATTCGTATATGAATGTTTCCTTTGTGAGATCCCACTCGTTTTTCCCCCAGACCACGTCCCTACCTTACTTCCCTGGCTGTGCTGCCATACCGGAGCATTTCATTATTTTTAAATTTATTGAGGCTTACTTTTTGGTCTAGTATATGATCTATTCTGGATAATGTTTTATGTGTGATGTGAAATAATTTATGCAAAGTTTATTAGTGGAATTATGCATAAGGGATTATAGACCTGAATTTGTACATACCTTTGATTGTTTTACTAGACCAGGAGACAGGCCTTTTTCCTAGTGATCAACAGTTCAGGGCCCCCTGTGGCAATTTTGTCGTGCCGTTTGGTTTTAAGTGGAAACTCTCACTTTATATTTCGAGGAGATCTGTGCACAAGCATAATAGAACCCCCTGGGCATGGGGGTGGGGTGAGGGTGGGTTGTCCACTCGCTCATACACCCCCTCTAGTCACCAGAATGGAGATGCATAGACAGCAAGAGACTAATGAATAGATACCAAAAAAAAAAAAAAAAAATGTCCACACCTGTATCTCTAAGGTTCTGTCAGGTGTCCTTGGCTTCTCTGATCCATTTCCTGCTTGGTGTCACCCAAGGTGGCGGCTCTGATAGCAGCTGAACAGATTGAATTAGAAAGCACTTGGGTTCTTGCTTCTGTTACCAATTCTCCTAGCTATAAGTCTTCCAACCTTCAAAATATTCCTTTATTTGTGGTTCAGAATTCTGGCACCATTCCCTGATCCTGATTAGTTCAGTATTCTGTGTTGTTGCTGACGGAGCTCCTTACTGCACTTCTGCCCCATCTGCCATCTTGTTTATTCTCCCCTCAGACAGAAATTTTTTAAAAACCAATTTTCACACATACAATTCAGTGACTTTAATTACATTCAGTATGTCGTATAACCATCAACAATTTTCATTTACAATTTTTCCATCACATTTACTAGGATCTCCATTCCCCTTAAGCAAAACTCCCTCCTTGCCACCCTTGGTTAATCCCTTTATTCTCTTATACCTTTGTCCAATCTAGAGATAGCTTTTATCAGTGGAATCATATAATCTTTCCCCTTTTGCTAGTGACTTTATATTTTCCTTGGTATAATGTTCTCATCCATTTTGTAGCCTGTACTAGGATTTCATTTCTTTTTATGGATGAATGATATTCCATTTTATGTATATACTGCATTTTGTGTATCTGTTCTTTTTATGGACATTTAGGTTATTTCCACATTTGGGCTATTGTGAATAGTGCTGCAGTAAATATTTGTATACATGAATATTTTTATTTCCACTTCTAGTTCTTTTGTGACGATACCTAGGAATGGAATTGCAGCAATGGATTCAAACATAGAAACAATTATAAGGATGGTGCAGGATGGGTCTGTGTTTCATTCTGTTATGCATAAGGTCCATATGAATTAGAACTGAGATGATGGCATCTAACAATAGCACCATGGCAATTATATGTGTAACTTTCTGAGCTACCATCAAATTGTTGTCCACAGTAGCTATAGCATTTTACATTTTTCCCAGAAGTAGATTTCAGAACTCCTAGTTGTGGTCATGAGAAACCTGTACAAAGACCAAGAGTTAGTTCTTAGAATAAGGCAAGGGTATAATGGATGGTTTAAGATCAGGAAAATTGTGCACCAAGGTTGTATAGTCTTTCACCATACTTATTCTGTCGGTATACTGAACAGATAACCTGAGAAACTGGATTATATGAAGAGGAATGTGGTGTCAGATTTGAAGGAAGACTCATTAACAGCCTGGGATATGAAGATGATTTAGCCTTGCTTACTGGATACTGTTGTATAATTGAATTTTTTCCTTAATATTTTTTCAGATTGCTCATTGCTGATGTATAGAATATGGACTGATTTTTGTGTTAACTTTGTACTTGCGACTTTTCTGGATTCATTACTAGCTTTAATAGCCTGGTGTGGGATATTTTAGGAAAAGCGCTTGACCAGAAAGTTGGTTTGAACTGTAGGATCAGCAGCTGAAACTCTTTGGAAACCCTATACAGGGTCGCTATGAGTCAAAACTGACTTGAGGGCACTTAAAACATCAATAGTTTTTTTTTTTTTTTTTTTTTATAGCATATGCTGGTTTTTAATGTATATCAGCATCTGTTTCTGTGCTTTAATGTTCATGTGATTAAATATTTAGTTTGTATTAGAATGCCTAGTTCTGATTTAAATTGTAAGTTGTTTTTTTTTTTTTTTAATGTCAAATAGTAAATAAAGATCACAGGCCATTGTATAGTTGTTTCGAGAAAAGCCATTTTTTCCCATTTTATCAATAGATGATGATATTGATGATGAAGAATTTTATGATGATCATTTGGAGGCTTATTTTGAACAACTGGCAATTCCAGGAATGATACATGAAGACATAGAAGAACAGGAAACTGTAGTAAAACATTTCAAGTTGCCTGCTAGTCATCCTTGTCAGGTATGTTCTAATCTTTTACTTTTTCTCAGAAATTTTACTTTAGAAAATTATTATTGGTCTCATCAAAACCATTAATTAAATTAATTTTAAGTCATCACCATTACATTTAAGCCTTTAATTTTCTTTAGATTCTTGTTTTCTTTAGATATGAGTTGATTAGAAATAAATTTCCTGGCCTTTTCTACTTTCTGTTACCTTTCCCTCGCATACAAAAAAAAATTAGACTAGTGCAATGAGCATCTCTGTGGTGCTCATGCAGATTTTACCAGTTTATTAACATTTTGTCACACCTGTATTTTCTTTCTACTTCTATAAATATACTCCCCCGCCACCTAAATTATCTGAAATTTATAGCTCTTTTGACATTTCACCCAACTACTTCATTTATTTCTTGTAAATAGGACATTTCCTTACATAATCAAAATTCTGTTTTTGCTCCAGTATATTTAACTTTGATACTGTAATTTTAATTAATATGTAACACATATTCAGATTTGCTCGTGTTGCTAAAATGTCCCTTATTCTTACTTATTTACATTTTTGATCAAGAATTTAATCACAGATGACACTTGTATTTGATTATCTAGGTTCCTTATTATTTTTTCATTTGTAGTGGTTCTTCATGAAATTCAGCTTTTTTTTTTAATAATCGAGTCATGCTGTTTTATATGATTTATAATCTAGGTATATATGAATGTTTTTCTTTCATGATGAGATTCACAGTAAACATAAGCAGAGCTGTGTACTTGTCGTTGTATCACACCAGGAGAACCATGATCTGTCCCACTGCGGGAGATGCTGTTTCCTAACAGTTGGCTAAGGTAGTCAGTCAGATTTCTCCTGGTGAAGAAACTTTCCCCACTTTGTTATTTATGAGTTATTTGTGGGATGATAATGGTGAGAACATGTGAACATCCTGTTCTTCACCTGTCGTCTTTCAGGAATCAGTTCCAGTTGTCATTGCTGAAGTCTCCCTGAAAGACTTGATACATTGATAGTTACAATGGTTATCCTAGTTCCTTCTATGTTTATTATTTGACAACCTACTGTAAAGCAGATACTCTCTGCACCCTCTTTAACTATTTTCTCCTCAAAATGTGTATTACTAATTTAAAATTTATTAAAGCTGGTATATTCTTTCACCAGGTAAATGAAGACAGTAGCCAAAACTATAGATCTCAGTCAGAAAGTGACAGCTCTCTGACACTTTTTGCCTCACAAGCTGTGGGAAATTCTGAAATGAGCCACAAAGAATCTCAAGAAGGCCTTGTTGTTTGTCTACCTGGAATCAGTAAGTGCCAACATATTATTCCTTGGTTCTTAAATTCTTTGTTTGAATTTACATTTAAAAAAATTTGTTCTTTGTTATGATTTATTTTATGTGACTATTAGCCTTCTATTCTCTCAAATCTTTATGTTTGTTTGAAAGTATTTTTAAATATTTGGTAAGGGGTGATTTTCTAGCCAAACAAGTCTATGAACAAAGAACCCACTAATAAAAATAAATAAACATATAAAGGTTGTTGTTGTCATTGTTGTAAATTATTGTCATGTTTATTTCAATTAATAGCAACCCCATCTGGGCAAAGTAGAGCTGCTCCAAGATGACTGGGTGGGTTTGAACCACCAACCTTTGGGTACTTGTACTTGTCAGGTGCTATTCATTCAGTTCTGAATCATAGCAACCCCTATGAAAACAGAACCTAACAATTCCCGGGCCTGTGCCATCCTCTCAATTATTACGCTTGAGCCCATTGCTGCTGCCATTGTGCCAGTCCTTCTCACTGGGGCTCTCCCTCTTTTTTGGCTGACTCTCTACTTTACCAAGCATGATGTCTTCTCTAGGGATTGGTAGCAGGAGAGACGAAGTCTCACCATCCTGGCTTCTAAGGAGTATTCTGGTTGTACTTCTTGCAACATAGATTTATTTGTTCTTCTGGCTGTCTATGGTACTTTTAATATTCTTCTCTAACACCATAACACAAATGCATCAATTGTTCTACGGTCTTCCATATCCATCTTCTAACATTTACATGCATATGAGCCTAATGAAAATACCATGTTTTTGAGTAGGTGCACTTAAATCCTCAAATTGGTATCTTTGGTCTTCAACGCTTTAGAGAGGTCTTTTAGAGTAGATTTGCCTAATGCAGTATGTTGTTTGATTCTTGATTGCTGCTTCCATGAGTGCTGATAGTGATCCAAGCAAAATACAGTCTTTGACAACTTCAGTCTTGACTCTTTTTTGTTTTAGTTTTTTTTTTTTAATTAATTATTTATTATTATTCTTATTTTTTTATTGTGAACTGAGTGATGGTTTACATGGGAGAACGTCAGCTTTACACCATCGTTTCACTGCAGTGATTACAATCTCTGTGCATCATCATTCAACAGTATTTGCTTCCATTCTCTCTGTTTTCCTTTTTTTTTTGGGCGAGGGGGGGTAGGGAAATGTACACAAAAACACTCAGGAACATATAATAATTTAAACAACCAAAGAACACATTCTGCAAGCCTGCCTCTTGGTCGCCAGCACTCAGTCCCTCTCTTTACATTAATCTCGAGTCCTTAGCTGCGTTCTCTCTCCATGTCCCCATCTCTGCCTCCCTCTTGCTTCTCTTGATAGGGTCCTGCATTCCACTTGTGCTTTTCTCCCTTAATGGTTATAGGGTCCTCTGCTTCTGGATTGTAATGTTAACTACTCCCCCATTTTTATTACTGCCTTTACAGTTGTGACAGTCACAGTTAGTCATGATAACAATTACTATTGAAGCATAAGAATCGTATCCCCATCTCTTTTCACCAGACCCATTAGTCAAGATAAAAATTATTCAGTAAGGACTCTATTTCCCCCCTCACACTCTTAAACTAAACTCCCTCTTGAAAACTTGTAAGCCAGTTAACTTCCTGCCTTTATTTTCAGGTAGCCAATGTGTAAGTTGCCCATCCCTATCTACCCTGTATACAGAGGGGATAGGATTGATACTTGATGTGAAGACTCCTTCCCTCTCAGTTGGTATTTTGAGTTACTACATCCATAAGTATAGGTCAAATTCATCATATTGTAGCAATTTACCCTTGTTTCCTTTATAAAAAAAAAAAATTATTTATTTATATTATATCTTCCTCTAGTTGAGTTCTGATTGTCAGGCTCTTGAGGCTAGGTTGAATGGGTACTATCTATAATGTTTGGGTGTTCTTGGGCGTCTCCCTCACTTCAGATCAGCTGGATGCTTCACTCTCTGCTCTAGCCCTCCATGGCTATGTCCTTGTCCATGGGCTCAACAGTCCTCAGGTCTCACCACACTTCGGACCAATCTGTCCTTCCTCTTCTCTTTCTCATCTCCAGGTTGATGAGAGTCTATGGAACATGGTTGAACTCAGCCCATATCTTCATTGCTGCCATTCCCCCTCTTCCACTCACCAGCTGACAAACGTGATCACCAGCAATCTTACGTGCCTGCTCATGTGTTCCTTTTGAGTGTCAGTCTTGGAGGGGGCAGTTTGTCCTGAGGGTCAAATCTTTTTTAATACAAAAATTAAAATCACTTATTCATCAAAATTCATCACAAATTCTTGATATCACTCAACTATTATATTACAGTGTAGTGGTATCTAATAGCGGTTTACATTTCCATACTCTGATAACGAATGAGGTTGAGAATCTCATAATGTGGTTATTACGTACCCATTTAGTATTTTATATGTTAATGTGTCTATTCCTGGTGTCATGCTGCAGGATAATACACTGGACCGCAAATCAGTTTTGAATTGCTCCTTGAAAACGATACAGGATCAGTATGAGTCAGAACTGACTCGATGACACTTGACAACAGCAAAAACGTATTTGGTCCATTTTGGTTCATTGTCCATCTTTCTATTTTTGAATAGTGAGACTTTCTTATATAGGAATATAAGTAAAAAAATATCGTTACTATGGTTTCAATTCATACATTTATGGGTTTGTTTCTCACAAAGCTTGTTTAACATGTGTCTGCAGTCAGTGGTGTGCTGCAGACAAGTTCTCTCATTAGTACAATTGTCTTAGTCTCGTTGTTGTTTTTAGGTGCGGTCGAGTCAGTATTGACTCATAGTAACCTCATTTACAACAGAACGAAACACTGCCCTGCCCTGCGCCAACCTCACAGTAGTTGCTATGCTTGAGCCTATTGTTGACCTTCCACTTTTATCAAGCGTGATGTCCTTCTCCAGAGACTGATCTTCTTGATAATATGTCAGAAGTACGAGAGACGAAGTTTGACCATCCTGGTGTCTATGGAGTATTCTGACTGTACTTCTTTCAGTACAAATTTATTTGTTCTTTTGGCTATCCATGGTACTGTTCACATTGTCCTCATAAACCGTAACTCAAATGCAACAGAGAACGCTCCAAAGGCTGGTTTGGTCACCCGAGCTCATTAAAAATGGCTAACCCCTAACAATATGTACAAAAATATAAAATGTAAATAAAAAATACAAACAAATTTTCCTTTTTAAAGTACTTTTAAGAAAAAAAGCAGGGCCTTGGAAGTTTTGGGTTTTTTTCTCCCCTGTTGCAAATTCACATTGTGGTTTTGGTTAGGTGGTGGTGAGCGCTTGTTATCTGCAGGTGGCGCTGCCCAAAGTGGGCGGGTGGGACTCTCTACTCGAAGGTGACCACGTTTAGATTCTGAGACAGGAAGTGGAGGGTGAATAGGTCACGGTGGCCTTTTTAAATTTAACTTTTCCTTTTTTAACATGCTTGGTCTTCTTTATTCATTGTCCAACTTTACCATACATATGAGGTTATTGAAAATACCTAGGCTTAGATCGTGCACCTTATTTCTCAATCTGACATCATTTCTCTTGAACATTTTAAAGGGTCTTGTGCAACAGATTTACTTAATGCAAAACATAATTTGATTTTTTGACTGCTGCTTCCCTGAGTTCATGGTTGATCCGAGCAAAATGAAGTCTTTGACAGCTTCAGTTTTTTCTCTGTTTATCTTAATGTTGTTTATTGGTCCAGTGGTGAGGATTTTTGTTTTCTTTACATTGAGATGTAGTCCATACCAAAGGCTGTGGTTTTTGTTCTTCATCAGTAAGTATTTTAAGTTATCTTTGTTTTCAGCAAGCCAGTTTGTATCACCTGTAGATCACAGGTTGCTAATGAGTTGTCTTCTAATCCTGTTACCATGTTATTCTTCAAATAAATTAGGTTTTTGAGTTATTTGGTTTGCATACAAATTGAATATTTATGGTGAAAGAATACAACCCTGGTGCACAACGTTCCTAATTTTAAACCATTCAATGTTCCTTTGTTTTGTTTGCACAACTGCTCTTGGTCTATGTACAGGTTCTTCATGAGCACAATTAAGTGTTCAAGAATATTAACTCTCTGGAATATTGTCCATAGCTTGTCATGAGTCACACAATTGAAAACCTTTGTATAGTCAGTAAAGCATAGGTAAACCTCTTTCTGGTATTATCTGCGTCCAGCCAAGATCCATCTGACGTCAGTAACTATATACCTTGTTTCCTCTTCCTCGTCTGAATCGGGCTTGAACTTCTGGCACTTCCCTGTCAATGTACTGTTGCAGACATTTTTGAATTATCTTTAGCAATATTAATGACATTGTCTGATGATTTCCACATTCTGTTGGGTCACCTCTCTTTGGATGGGCACAAATATGGATCTCTCCAAATCAGTTGGCTAGGTAGCTGTCTTCCAAATTTCTTGGCATTGTTGAGTGAATGCCTCCATCAGTTTGTTGAAAGATTTCTATTTGTATTTGTATTCCATCATTCCTGGAACTATGATTTTTGCCATTGCCTTTATTGCACTTTAGCCTTCTTCCTTCAGTAGTATTGACTGTTGATCATATGCTTCCTCATGACATGCTTGAACACTGACCATTTCTTTTGTGTGTGTGTGTGTGTGTGTGTTGTTAGAACAACTCAGCAAAATAAAATTCCGGTTTATTGTTGGACAATATTGTTTCACACATACATCAAACAGGCCAAAAAAAAAAATAAAAAGCAACTTCATAGACAAAAAAAAAGGAAAAGAAACTTTATCTTTGGCCTTTTTTAACCATCTCATACAAACCAACTACTTATAGTACAGAGTACATACACAAAAAAAGTTACTGGAATGCTCGGAATAAGATTGTAATTTTTTTGTTGTTGTTGTTTTTGCTTTTTTTACAAGTTTTTTTTTTTCTCCTTTGAGATTATAATGAACATGGTCACACCACAGGTAAAGTCAGAATTAGGACAGAGAACGCTCCAAAGGCTGGTTTGGTCACCCGAGCTCATTAAAAATGGCTAACCCCTAACAATATGTACAAAAATATAAAATGTAAATAAAAAATACAAACAAATTTTCCTTTTTAAAGTACTTTTAAGAAAAAAAGCAGGGCCTTGGAAGTTTTGGGTTTTTTTCTCCCCTGTTGCAAATTCACATTGTGGTTTTGGTTGGGTGGTGGTGAGCGCTTGTTATCTGCAGGTGGCGCTGCCCAGAGTGGGCGGGTGGGACTCTCTACTCAAAGGTGACCACGTTTAGATTCTGAGACAGGAAGTGGAGGGTGAATAGGTCACGGTGGCCTTTTTAAGTTTAACTTTTCCTTTTTTGCTGTCTAGTCATCCTCATTGGTCTTCTGCTTCTTGGTGTCAACATCATCATCTTCATCATCTTCAGCTGCCCGTTTGTCCGTAGCTGCCTCGGCCTCCTCATTTTCATCTCCATCTTCTTCCTCACCATCACCTTCTTCCTCTTCCTCCTCCTCCTCCCCACCTTCTTCCTCTTCCTCTTCTACCTCATTGTCAGCCTCCTGTTCCCCATTTTCCTCGTTAGCGTTCCCATTAGCGGGTGTGTCTCTTCCATTTTCTGTTTCCTCCATAGCCTCCTTCTTCTTCTTCAAGTCCTTGGTGGTAATCTCAGAGCTGGTGTCCACAGCCGCGTCTGACATGATGGGGCACGCTGGTGATCCGATACAGAGGATGACAAAGAGTGCGAGAGTTCGGGGAGTCTGGCGAGAGAGGTGCCGGAGTCCGCAGCGGCAGAGAAGGAGCACAGCAGAGGTGGCTGCGGGGAGCAGAGCGCCGGACCCGGGAACAATGCAAAGATGGCTTTTCAGAGCAGCCAGTGGGGCTGACCATTTCTTTTTGGTTTGGTCACTGTATATTCCTTCCATCTACCTTAGGTGCTTTCTGCATCATTCACTATTAGTCTCGTTATTGTTGTGAAGTGCCGTCAACTCGGTTCCGACCCATAGTGACCCTGTATAGGGTTTCTGAGGAGCAGCTGGTGAACTTGAACTGCCGACCTTGCAGTTCAAATGGCTTTGCAGTCTGGTGCATTAACCCACAGTGCCACACCAGGACTCCTTATGGTGCTTTTTTAAAAAGTCCAATCAAACAGTAGCTTTCAAGAGGATCTTCTGGTTCAAGGAATAGCAGTAAGCTCAAAAGTTAATGATGACTGTGTTTTGGAAATCTTGATAAATTTTCTCAAGGGACAGAGAATAATCACGGAGTTTATTTGGCAGAAGATTTAAGAAAATTACAAGCTACACTGGTGAGAAAAAGGCCAGGAATATTGCACTGAGGAGTTATCTTGCATCATGACAATGTACCTACTCTCATTCTTCAAGAGTAGCAAGGGGTTTTGCATGAGAATTTCTTTTGGAAATCTTACCCCATTTTCTTTACAGTCCTAATGTTGTTCATTCAGAATTTTTTTCACCCCCAAATTCAAAGAATACTGAAAAAGGAGCATTATTTTTAAGTCCCTTGAAGATGCTGAAACTGATGTTTTTACTTCGTATAAATTGAGTACAGAATTCTTTGGGGAAGAATTAGAGAAGTGCACAAACCTAGCTGTAGTATATGTCATGAATTGAAAGCTGTACATATTGAGTTTTTAAAAAAATATTTCTCTGATTTTTGTGAGAATGGATTATTGCCATCCTCACTTCTGTTTTTTAACTTTCATTTTGAATTGAGTGAAGTTTTATAGATGGGATCATCATTTTTACCTTCAACAAATCATACACTTCATTTCATCTCAATGATTGCAATCCCCTCCTTGCAACAATTATCCCACTTCTCCCTTCTGGTTCCTATTTCCATTCCACCCACCTTCCCATCCCTTGTCAACTTTTTCCTTAGGTTAAATGATGCCATCTGATGTCAGCAATAATATCCCTGCTCCACATCCTTTTTTGAATGTGGTTTAAATTTCTGTATTGTTGCAAATATTTTTAAATTATCTTCAGCTAAATTTTAGTTGCATGTGATATTATTGACATTGTCCAATTTTGGCATTCCATGTGTCAGCTGTTTTTGGAATGGACGCAAATGTGGATCTGTTTTAGTTGTTTAGCCAGGTAAGCTGTTTTCCAAATTTCTTGGCATAGATGAATGAGTTCGTGCCTGAAAGGCGCGATATCAGTTTGTAGAAGGATTTCAGTTTGTATTCTGTCAATTCCTGGAGCCTGTTTTTCATCATTACCTTTAGTGTAGTTTGGTTCTTGACCCTATCCTACCTCTTGAAATGTTTGAACATCTTCTTTTTGAGCAGTGACTCTATATATTCCTTCCATCATCTTTTGATGCTTTCTGCATCATTTGATGTTTTGCTTATAGAATCCTTCAATATTGTAACCTGAGGCTTCAATGTTGTCTTCAGTTTTTTCGGCTTGATGAACATGTTCTTCTCATTTAGTTTTCTATGCATTGAGTATTTAATATTGTTCTCTAACACCAATAACTCAAGTATATCAATTTTTCTTCAGTCTTTTATATTCATTGTCCAACTTTCATATGCATATGAAGAAATTGAAAATACCATGACTTGACTGACTCTTGTGTTATCAGTAGGGACCAGTCCCTTGGAGAAGAAAATCATACTTTGTAGACTATCAGTGAAAAAGAGGAAGATTTTCAAAGAAATGGATTGACACAATGGCTGCAACAATGGGTTCTAATGATTGTGCTGAAATGACAGGACTGAGCATTGTTTCCTTCTATGAGTCTGAACTGACTCGACAGTACTTAGCAACAGCAATGGTTTTGTAGCAGTAATTTTTTACTTACCCTCATGTATCCTAGATATCATATGTCTAATTTAGAAAAATAAATCTGTATAAACATATGCTGCAAATGTACATAGTACATTATTCACAAAAAAACCAAACACAACAATCTACAAAAGATTCCAGCAGTGAGCATTAAGTAAAATTTTGTTATGTCCTAAATACTAAAATACTATTCAGCAATGAACAAGTATCAGAGTAGAAAATAAGCAAGCAATTTACATAGTGCAGTTCAAAAGTAATCCCAATTCTGATGTTTTAAGAAACAATTTTGGAATCACTCATAACCAAACCAAAACAAAAGAATGCATTTCATGAAGACTGGCAATTCTGGAGTCTCTTCCTGTGTCCTTCATATTATTTTGTGTCTGGATCTGCTAACCTCTGCAAATGAACTGGAACATATGGGCAAGCTAAGTAGTATTGGAAGAACTAATAAGAGAGCGGCCTTTAAGTTTCATACATTTGTTAAAGTTTCTGTGAGAGGTGGTTGTGAGCAATAGAGGCAAATGCTGCAGCCATGTTGTGAGAAACTTTGGATAGCCTAGTTCCTTGATGTGGAGGTACATTTCATGAGATAACTTGGGTGGTCTTGTCCATTTCCTGCTGTCTCCCCTCACATCTTTAAATTATCTGAAAGTTTTCAAAAGAGTTATTAATATTTCTTCGTAAAATGGCATTATTAGAAATGTTATTGTTAAGTACCACCAAGTCAGCTCTGACTCATAGTGACCATATGCGTGGTTTCTAAGAAGCAGCTGGTAGTTTTTAACCACCAACCTGCAGTTAGCAGTCCAGTGCTTGTCCTACAGTACCACATGTGTTGTTGGGTGTACTGTGTATTTCTTAAAAGTGTTGCATTCTGTTTTATTGAAACGTTTGGCAATTAGAAATGAGTTATCTCTGTATGATAGCAGTTTATCATTGTAGTATTGCCTCCTACTGGGAGTACTAGAGTGGTGCTGCTGTAGGACAAACACTGGACTACTAACATTCAAGTCCTTCTGTCACTTTTCAGAATTCCTGTGTAGGGTCAATGTGAGTTGGAACTGATTTGAAGGTAGTCAACAACAGCAACAACATTGCCTTCTGGTGCTTATCTTATGCTTTATAAATATTACTAAATTTGTCATATGAATGCCAAGTATTAAGTTTACCTGAAATAATTTGAATAGCAAGAAACAATTACTACATTAGAATACTGAAATGTGGACATAGCTCCATTAAGGTCTTTTTTCTCTTACTTTCAGGTAATTTTGTAGACATTGGAGTCAGTAGAAAGCATAATAATGGCATGCTACCATCTTCCTCCAATATGTGGAAAATTGAAGAGAAAGGAGGGACAGGAAGTTTGAAGGGTACTGTTTCACATTGTAACAAAGTAAGTTTATACATTTTCTGTGAAATTTTTGTGTTTGTATAATGGCAGTTTTTTGCTTTTTCTATGCAGCAATTACTGATTTCTGGAAAATACTGAAAAAAAAAAAGAACTAAGAATTTTTTCCTTGTAGGGTACATCCACAGATTATTTGACGGTGAAAACTCTGATAGATTCATAAAAGATTTGCCCTTTTGAGTCTAGCTTATTCAAGGTTCATTCATCTTGCAACATATAACAGAACTTCATTTCTCTTTATGGCTAAATTGATATTGATATTCCATTGTCTTTATTCATTTACCTGTTTCTGGGCATTTGGATTGTTTTCATCTTTTGGTTATTGTAAGTAATGCTGCAATGAACATTGATGTACATGTTTTTGTTCCTACTTTTAACTCTTCAGGGCCATATAACTTCAAGTGAAATTTCTGGGCCACACGATATAACTTTTTGAGTAACCACCAAATTTTTCACAGTGGCTGCTTTACATTCTCACCCATAATGCATGAATGTAAAGTAGAGGGTTCTAATTTCTTGAAATGCTCACAAATACTTGTTATTTTCCTTTAAAATAATACCCTCGGCATGAAGTAGTATTACATTGTGGTTTTGATTGCATTGGTGACCTTCAGAAAATTCATGGAAAAATTATATTATTATTTTTTTTAATGTTTTATTGCGAATTATATGATAGTTTACATGGGAGAACCTTAGTCTTACGTTCATTCCATTGTATATCATCTCATTGCCATGGTTCCAATCCCCTCCATGCATCATCAACCAATCAAAGGGTATATCCTAGAAACCCCCACCTACGCTCCACCCCCCCCACCCCACCCCAGTTTTTGGCCCACAGTCCCTTTCCCTCTCTGGATCCAAAGCCCCAGCCGCTTCATCACTCCACGTCGTCGTGTCTGAGTGTATCTCAGGCATCTCTGTTTCTCTGGGTAGGGTCCCGCTCTTGGCTCTTCTTTGTTGATGGTCCCAGAGACCTCCACTCCTAGCCTGGAGAATTAGTCACTCCCTTCCTTGTTACAAAACGTCTACCTTTGCATTTCCAACCCTCACAATCCGTCCTGATAAGCATTATTCACTACAGTATCACGAGTTACCCATCTGTATTTCCTTTCATCAGCTATGCCCAGACAGATTGAGTAGTACCTACTGGAGATTCTGCCTTCCTCCATGCTCCCTAGCATTAGGTTCCCTCTTGAAGGCTTGTAAGCCAGTCACTTCTTGCCTTTGTAGTCCCTCCCTCCCCATTTGAGTATCCAATGTCCAAGTTGCCCATCTCGGTCCACTCTTTGTGTGGTGGGGGTGTAAATGCTTCTTGCTTTAAGGATTTGCTCCTTCTTTTGAGTTGCTGCTCCATAGGTATAGGTCAAGTTCATCAGATTGTTTATTAAAGCAGTCGCTTCTAAAGAGATGTGCTGGGCCAGTTAAATTCAAGACAGAGAACTCAGTTTAGAAGATTATGGTGACTATTTTTTAGAACTCCAATGGGATATTCCTGGTAGATTTTCTTGAAGACAAAGGACAATCATAGGAAATTAGTATGAACAAGTTTTAAGAAAATGAAAATTGCACTGGTGAGAGAAAGACTAGGAAAGTTACGCCAAGTAATTGTTTTCATCACGACAACATACCTGCTCATTCTTTGAGGTTAGCAAGGTCTGTAACAAATTTCACTTGGAAACCTTATTTCATTTACTCAACTGCCTTGATATTACCCCTTCAGACTTTTGTTTTTTTCCCAACTCAAAGCACACTAAATAGGAATTTGATTTGAGTCCTTTGAGGATGCCAACACTGCCATTTTGATATGTAAATTGAAGAGTGTAGAATTGTTCAGGGAAGGTTTAGAGAGATTAAAACCTACCTTCAGGAGTGTGTAGATCTAGATGGAGGATTTGTTGTGAAACAGTAGCTTCTCATTTTGATATTTTTGTTTAATAAATTTTGTATACTTTTATAGCATTACTTGTTTTTGTTTGCCCTCATATATATGCTGTTATTGTGTTGTTGTGTTGATTTTTGATCATAGTGACTCCATGTGACGGAATAGAGATGGCTTTATAGGCTACAGTCTTTATAGGAGCAGATCATCAGGTCTGTCTCACGCAGAGCTAGTGGGTGTGTTCAAACGTCCAGTCTTTCAGTTAGCAGCCAATTTCAATTAGACAGTCATTCTTATAATAGTCTTTTCAATTTATTAAAGCAGCAAGTTAAGCCATTGACATTTTAAAGAAGATAAATCTCAAGTACTGAAAAGCGGAATCCCATCTGTATTTCTTCAGGACTTACCCTTTTCTTTTTTATTTCCTATCACAATTTACATTCAATTGAAGTACCACATGTCTGTTTTACTGCTGTATCTACAATGTTTTTACTACTTTGTCATTGCTTGCCATTGCCAAGTTAGTCTTGTTACAGTGGTATTTTTAAAAATTATCTTTACAGTTTTCTATTTTGATAATTTTTAAGGTACTAGAAAATATAACCCCATTTTACCTGAATTTCTCATTTACATTGCTTTTCCAAATCCCTGTTCTTATTCTTTCCTTTTTCAATACAGACTATAACCAACCATCTTTCAAGTATTGCATCAATTTCCTTGTTGCTTTTCAGTAACTTGTTGTTACTAGTTGCTTTCCATTTGATTCGTACTCAGAGTAGAACTGCGTCATATAGTTTTCAAGCCCTATCAGAAGAAGATTGCTAAGCCTCTGGATGGATTTCTTTTGTCTTTCATCTAGTAGTCAAGTGCTTAACTCTTAGTGCTGCCTACAGACTCCTTTGAATAACTCTATTGTTGTTAAGTGCTGGCGAGTCAGTTCTGACTCCGCGACACTGTTTCTGAAGCTATAAATCTTTGTGGGAGTGAAAGCGTCATCTTTTTCTTGTGGAGCAGCAGGTGGGCTCAAACTGCTGACCTTGTGGTTTTGCAGTCCAGTGCTTATCCTACAGAGCCACTACACTCACTTTAGTAACTCAATATGGTATTAATTTTTCTAAATGTCTATTTAGTAGCTTTATTCTATATTATGTATTTAGGAATATTTTGCTTACCCAGAAGTTTCCTGAGCAAGTTAAACCTTTCACACTTAGTGTAATTAGTGTAAAATTTTTATTTTTAAATTTGTTTTACTTTGTTTATTATTTATTTTGCTTTTTTTTTTTTTTTATCATATCCAAGTTTTTTATTATGTTATTCTATCCTTTCCCTAGCGTAGTGGTTATGAATCGGGCTGCGAACCTTAAGGTCAGCGGTTTGAAACTACCAGCCACTCCATGGGAGAAAGATGAGGTTTTCTACTCCCGTAAAGATTTACACCCTCAGAAACCCTGTACAGGGTCGCTATGGGTCGGAACCGACTTGATGGCACTTAACAACAACAACAACATCCTTTCCCTTCACTCCCTGTTTTTCTTTGTTTATTTGAAAGTCTTTTTGTCACTTTTTATTGATTCTGAAAAAAGAATATATTTTTTGCATATTTTAATATATGTCTTATTGTTTCTGGTGTGTTATAGTTTGTAAGGGAATGGAAAATCGTAAAATCAATGGTTAGGATTTTTGAAGTATGCTATTTATACGTTCTTTAAAGGGCAATCTTTTCCTTTATTCATTATTGGACATTTATTTTTCAACCACTGTTTCAAACAATAAAAACCTTGTTCTTCCCAGCATGTACTCTTATTCTTCCAAGATGTTCTGTTGTGCTTGCTTTCCCTGTACTCTCAGTAACATGAGAACTTTAGAATACTTTTATTACCTTCTCTTGAAACCTCACCTCTTAGGAGAACTTTAGACTACCATTTTTTTCCCTTCTCATACTTCGTAACCCTTTAGTTTTATTCAGGGAGTTGTACTGTCTAAGTGGATATTGCAGCATATGTGTTTATATGTACTACAATATATTCATGACTATAGTAGCATATACAAGCAGCCAAGTTATGAAAGCTTCTTATCTATAACCAAACTCTTTCAGGGATCAGGACCAAAATCTCAGAGGACACCAAAGTCAGCTAGCTGGCATAGTTCACAAAGACAGTATTCTATATCTTACTTTTGTGAGTTGTGATGGGGTCTTAACAGCTTATAAGATGCCATCTAAGGTGCAATTAGTGGTTTCTCCATGTCCAGAGGAAAGAAGAGTGAATAAAATCAAAGACATAAGGAAACACTTTCTAATGGAATAATGGACCACATGACCTTTAACCTCTGCATCTCTGAGACCAGAAGAATTAGATGGTGCTTATCTACCACTGCTGTTCTTAAAGGGATCACAACAGGAGGGTCCGACATAACATGGGAGAAAAATGTGGAACAAACTCAAAATTATAAAGACTAGGCTTACTGGTCTGATAGAGATTGAGGGAACCCCTAAGACGGTGACCCTTAGACACCATTCAAGCCTGGAATTGTACTCACAAACATTAACTGGAACCTCAGAGAATACAGCTTTCAACCAAATAATAGGTGCTTAATGTGAACCATATTACCAGGAGGTATGTACTTAGAACAAGCAACCAATTTATTCCAAACTTTCACACAAATAGTTAAAAAACAGCAACAACCACCAAAAAAAAATACTAACAGATCAACTTTATTTGTATTCCACATTGTTGTTGTTGTTGTTTTTTATTAAAGTTTTTATTGTGAATTGAGTGAAAGTTTACAGGGCGGATCATCAGTTTTACATTTAACAAACCATATACTTTGTTTCATTACAATGACCACAGTCCCCACCAAGTACCATCTGTCAACAGTAGTTTCCTCTATTTATTTTAGCTCTCTCTCTTTTTTTTTTTCTCCAACCCTCCACTTTACCAAACATGATATCCTTCTCCATGGACTGTTGCCTCCTGATAGTATGTCTGAATTATGAGAGATGAAGTCTGGTCATCCTGGCTTCAGGGAGCATTCTGGTTGTACTTCTTCCAACACAGATTGGTTTGTTCTTTTGGTAGCCCATAGTACTTTTTTTTTTTTTTTTAAG